AAATGGACTAAATGCCCCAATCAAAAGACACAAACTGGCAAATTGGATAAAAAGCCAAAACCCATCTGTGTGCTGTATCCAGGAAACTCATTCATTGTTTAAAATTGTGGTTAGCCTCATCGCCTCTTTGAAGGCTTTCTTTATCTTTTCCTAATCCTCACCCCCCAAACAAAATATGTGTACCTCTGTTTTTTGTATTTACTTGAATTACTCAGTTTCTTGTATTTACTTGAATTACTCAGTTTCATGAAGAAATTTATTACCAATCCAAACATAAGAATGGATTAAATTTTGCTAAATTACTTGCAATTCCCGTTAAAGGAATAAAGGCTTTTATGATGATAGCTTCTATCATAGTATATTTAAATAAATTATGGAACTGTAGCATTTTAAATCTCAGATGAAGTTTATTTCCTTAAAGGATCTTTATCAGGCATACTGTTAACCTAATTTTTAAAAAAGAATTTGAGAGGATAATTTATATGCCATTCTCAAATGTTACACTTTCATAAACCAAAAATTCCTCTGAGTAATTTATTAGTGGGAGAGGCATTATACACCCTTCTTATATTCTGAATCTAATGTTAACATCTCCATTTTACACTTATGGCATCATTACTATAACAACATGAATTCATTATTCTCAATTGCATATTGTCATACCTTTTTCCTTCTAAGATTACTCTACTTAAAAGTATATCATATTAACTTGTGGAACCTCTAGAAATCACATTAATATTAATTAAGTGCATATGGTAAAATTCCTTAGCATTCCAAGGTTTCTTCATGGTCTATACTTAGAGAATATATTAGCACAAATCAAGCAAGAAGAATTAAATAAACCATAAATTGAAGAAATGATCAACTTTATTATTTTTTAGAGATTGAGATCTTGCTATTTTGCCCAGGCTGGCCTCAAACTCCTAGGTACAAGCAATCTTCCTTCTTAAGCCTCCTGAAGTGGGACTTCAGGCATACATCACCCAGCAATGATATATTTTAAAACTGCACTAGAAGATAATGTAAACCTTTTACATTGTACAATTGCTACTAATCACTTACTGTAGAGAGGCTTTTTAAAATACATGTTGAATCAATAACTACAGAAATTCTTCATAATTTGTCTTTAACAAAGTGCTGTTGATACATATATATATATATATGTATATATACACACACACATATATATATATATATGTATATGAAGAAAACTCCAGATACTAAGTTTCTAATAATGAATGAGAATGACTGAGCTGTAATTGAAGTCTTTAAACAACAGAGCTATTTTAGCAATGTGTTGAATTTCATCTTGGTCCTAGGTGTTAACATGCCAGTGATCCAAATAATTTCATTGACAAGATTAGGTGTTATGAAAATTTCTTTCTTTTACTCACTCAGGTGTTATAGTTGTAAATGCAGTGTATATAAATATTCATTTCCTTTCCAAGTGATTATATCGCAACTCCAAGTATGCTGGGCATATCTTCTAGTCTCTATTCTTGGAATGTCCTCCTCTTTGTACCTTTCTTGCTACAGAATAAACTTTTCCTTCTGCACCAAGCCTCCCCTAAATCTCAGTTTTTCCCCAAAACTTCTGAACCTAAATGTGAATAAAATCATAATATTTTCAATCTAAATATCACAAGGTGGGTAAGTTTAATGTGAAAATACTAATTTGTCTTTTTTTACCCTGTCCTCTCATTCGCCCACCCCAATGATTCATTCCTACTATACAGCTCTACCCTTTAATGGCCCCTAGCTTCTATTTTCTCAACAACCTTTTACCTGCCTTGCATTCTCTTTCTTCAGGGCTTTCTGGTGATAATTAGATCATATGAGAAACTAATTTGAGCTAATGTAATGTATGGAAGTAGCACTGCCTATGGTCTATGGCTATAAGTCACATAATCTGAGAATGTATGGGCTTAAAGAGAGTGGAGATAATCACTCACCTGACACTGCAACTGGAACCAACTAGTCAGATTCTACAATTAGGAAAAGGCTTTGTTTCTAGTTTGTTTTATAGCTTAAGGTATATATTTTAAGTTTTGATACTTTAAAGAAGACAAATTTAATGAGCAATAAAAACCTTCTTAGAGAAGGTTTTAAAAAAAACCTTTAAGTCTTTAAAAAACACAGTTTTTTAAAAAATCCCATGGAGTAGAGAGATGTTATTGTAACTAAAATGTAATGAGTTACAATTAAGTAAGTAGCCATTGTAATACATGCTCTCTGATTAGATATTACTTTCCTTGAGCATATTCTAACGTACCAACTTAAAGGCCAAGTGACTTCATTCTTCCTATAATGGCAATTTCCCAGCATAACACACCCTGGAGTGTATTATTGTGGTTTCAAAATGAACTGTGTAGTGGCAATTCTGTCATAATTAAGATGTTTTGCAGAAAATAATAAGGTGCCTATTAAAACATTAAGTAAAAGTTGATTCTAATTATAAGCATTGATGTGGAAAGTTAGGTACATAAATATATATAATTTAATACACTTTTTACATTATTTTATATAGTTATATATACATGTCATATTTTATATATCATAAATAATTATATGAACATATATAAGTTTAAATTATATTTTAATTTATTCCAGATTTAGTTCACAGTCTGCAATTTATTTAGTTGGCATACTATTTCTTAAATATACAATTTCTGAGAAGACAGATGTTGAAGAACAAAGTAAATGTTTTCATAAATTTTAAAAGGAAATAATCTACAGCTATGATAGTGTAAAGATTAATAAGCAAGTTTTCACACTGCTGGTGAAGATGTGTATTGTTAAACTATTTTCTAGAGGCCAATTTGGTCTTTATAGTGAATGCCTTAACTCTAGATGGATTAAAGATTTAAACATGAGGTCTAACACCATAACAACTCTAGAAGAAAACCTAGGCAATATCATTCAGGACATAGGCATAGGCAAGGACTTCATAACTAAAACAGCAAAAGCAATGGCAACAAAAGCCAAAATAGACAAATGGTATCTAATTAAACTTAAGAGCTTTTGCAAAGCGAAAGAAACTATCAATAGAGTGAACGGGCAACCAACAGAATTAGTAAAAAATTTTGCAAACTACCCATTTGACAAAGGGCTAATATCCAGAATCTACAAAGAACTAAAATTTACAAAAAAAAAAAAAAAAATCAAAAAGTGGGCAAAGGATATGAACAGACACTTTTCAAAACAAGACATTCATGCAGGAACAAATATATGAAAAAAAGCTCATCTTCACTTGTCATTAGAGAAATGCAAATCAAAACCACATTGAGATACCATCTCATGCCAGTTAGAATGGTGATCATTAAAAAATCTGGAGACAATAGATGCTGGAGAGGATGTGGAGAAATAGGAACCCTTTTACACTGTTGGTGGGAGTGTAAATTAATCCACCCATTGTGGAAGACAGTGTGGCGATCCCTCAAGGATCTAGAAATAGAAATACCTTTTGACCCAGTAATCCCATTACTGGGTATATACCCAAAGGATTATAAATCATTCTAGCATAAAGATGCATGCACACGTATGTTGACTGCAGCACTGTTCACATTAGCAAAGACTTGGAACCAACCCAAATGCCCATCAATGATAGATTGGATAAAGAAAACATGGCACATATACACCATGGAATGCTATGAAGCCATAAAAAAAGATGAGTTCATGTCCTTTGCAGGGACATGTATGAAACTGGAAACCATCATCCTCAGCAAACTGACACAAGAACAGAAAATCAAACACCGCATGTTCTCACTCATAAGTGGGTGTTGAACAATGAGAACACACGGACACAGGGAGGGGAACATCACATACTGAGGTCTAGCGGGTAGCGGACTAGGGGAGGAATAGCAGGGGGTGGGGAGATTGGGGAGGGATAACATTAGGAGAAATATCTAATGTAGATGATGGGGCAATGGATGTAGCAAACCACTACCATGGCACGTGTATACCTATGTAACAAACCTGCACAATCTGCACATGTACCCCAGAACTTAAAGTATAATAAATAAATTTTTAAAAAGATGTATGAAGCACAAAACATGTCAGGTTAGTTTAAAACAAAAACAAAAAAAATAAACAAACAAAAAACTGTGTATACCTTTTTATCTAAAAAATCACTTCTAGAGTTTTATTCTAAGGAAATAATTAGATAAAAGTACAAAGTTGCATATACAGAAATGTTTATGACATTAAAATAATGAGCAATCATCTAAAACCACAAAGAGGGCCAGGTGCTGTGGTTCATGCCTGTAATCCTAGTACTTTGGGAGGCTGATGGGGGAGGATGGCTTGAGCCTAGGAGTTCAAGACGAGGCCGGCCTGAGAAACAGAGTGAGACCTTGTCTCTACAAAAAATAAAAAAAAAATTAGCTGGGTGTAGTGGCCTGCACCTGTCGTCCCAGCTACTCGAGATGCTAAGATGGGAGGATTGCTTGAGCTTGGGAGGTCAAGGCTGCAGTGAGCTGTGATCATGCCACTGCACTCCAACCTAAGCAACAGAGTGAGACGCCGTCTCAAAAATAAATTAAATAAATAAACAAATAAGTAAAAGGACAGAAAGAGGATCTGATTAAATATATTAAAGTATATAGGTACAGTGAACAATTTATGCTTTAAAATGATTATCCAGATTACATATGCTAACATGGGAAATGTTTATATGTGTTCAGTGAAAAAAATCAGATCACAAATATTATGTGTAGTATGATCCATTTATATTTTTTAAACACACTTATACATGCATAAACTGGACCCTAAACAATGAATGTGGGGGTTAGGGACTCTGTCCTCCTGAGAAGTCAAAAATCCATGTATAACTTTTGATTTCCCCAGAGCTTTATTAATTTCCTACTGTTGACCAGCAGCCTGATAACAGAGTCAATTAACACATTTTTGTATGTTATGTGTATTATATAGTGTAGTCTTATAATAAGGCATACTAGAGAAAATAAAATTAATAAAATCATAAAGAAGAGAAAATATATTACCTATTCCTTAACTGGAAATGAATCACCATAAAGGTCTTCATTCTCACATCTTCAATGTGAGTAGGCTGAAGAGGAGGAGGAGGAGGTGGGGTTTGTCTTGCTGTCTCAGGGTAGAAAAGACAGAATATGAGGAGAAAGTAAGAGGGGAGGTAGAAGAGAAAGGCATACTTGGTGTAACTTTATTGAAAAATGTCTGTGTATCAGTGAATTCTCACAGTTAAACCTCTGTTGTTCCAACCAGTATATAACTCTGTTTGCGTGTGTGTTTATACACTTCTTCATGCATGAAGAAAAGTTTGCATTCACAGCATCCTTCAGTAGAATCTTACATAATGAAGAACTCCAAAATGCTGGTCTATAGCCATTCTTATGGCTGTGGAGCACTTGATATGTGGTTAGTGAAACTAAGTTTTTAATTTTATTTAATTTTAATTACTTTTAATTTAAATACCACATAGGGCTAGTGGCTACCATACTGGACAGCACAGATTGAGAAAGTTATATACTCCATGATGTTAACACTGGTTATGATTTACTATTATTTTTCTCTTTTTGTGTATTTAATTTTTAAGGTTTACTAATAAATATGTATTATATATATGACAAGAATAAGGGTTCCTTTTGGGGTGTTTGGGGGAAATTTGAGTATAGGTCTAGTAGTCTGAAGAACTGGACTTGAGAACTAGGTCAGCCACTTATTTGCTATATTACTTCAGGTAGACTGTACTTCAAAAAAATCTAATAAGACAAAAAAGGCTCAGAAATGCTTCAGCAAGAAACCAGTCTAAATGTTTTTTTAATTCACAATTTTCTAAGATAATTTGCTACTTAAAATTTATTTGCTACTTCTTTTATAATCTTGTAGAAGTATATATCATGCTTTACTATATTAATTCTGGAATGTTAATCCAAAAGATATTTACTGCTACAGTACCTACAAATAGGCAATATAATAAATAATTACAAAAAGAAAGTTTCTTAAATTAATTTTAGAATTATAGATTAAGAAGAAAAGTTTCTTAAAGTAATTTTTAGGATTATGGATATAAAAGAGGCATAATATTCCATACTTTGAGTACTACCTATAGAAAAGCAGTATAGAATAGTTTCCAAGATAAAATTATTCACATTTAAGGAATGTCTACTATTTGATACTGCAAGAACTGTTGAGAATGGAGAAATAAAAGACACATTTCTTGCCTTCAGGTTCCTCAGCAATAAATGTGGGAGAGAGGCAAGCCAAATGATATTGAAAATTAACCATAATGAATGAATCTAGAGGTTTTCACATAGTTACCTGGGAGCACTCAAGAGGTACCTACAGTTCTAATTCAGAGGAGCAGGCAAGGAATGGCTTAAAGAAAGGTTCCTTGAGGTAGTGCCTGAACGAGGTCTGTTGGCACAGGTTGACTTTAGGTAGTTACAGAAAGCAGGGGAAGGGAGAGAGGACACTGCAGCAGAAGAAAAAACAAGTACAACATGGGTGATAGGACCTTTGAGAGAAACATCGAGTGGTTCTCCATTGTCAGAATACCATGATTTTTGTGGAGATTTTAATGAGGGCATGACTTGAATTTGGATTTTAAAAGGCAATTCTAATTGCAATGTAGAAATGTTTGGAGAGGTAAGACTAAAACACAGAAATCAGGTAGAAGGCCTATTATGGTGTTTGAGGTGGAAAGATACTATGGGTGGGTATTAATGAACATGGAAAAGAGAAGACATATGATAGTAATACTTAGAAGCTAGATATGATACTAGTTGAACACTGAGTGAATATTCAGAATGAGGTAGAATAAGGGGTTCTTTCTCTGTCCTGTGAAGAAAACACAGAAGTAAAATTCCAGATAAGGATTCTTCTCAAATTACCAGCTTGATACATAAAACAATATTTATACATTTCTATTCCTTATAATTTTTATTCTTTACAATTTTTATTCTCTACAATTCTCTTACAATGTTCCATAGACAGGAGATTCTTAAAAGCTGTTTGTTAGATGAATGAAAAAATGAACAAACAAGAATAGTGAAGAACTAAATGTTAATAATTTCAGATTCTGGGAATAGGCAGACAAGAGAGAATTTTTAAATAGAATTTCAAAAAACTGCAATTGTTTCCAAGGCTCAGAAAATTCAATTTCTTCCAAAGCCCTATGAGTCAAATAATAAGAAACATTTTATTTTTTATTTTTTTTGTGTGTTTACTTTTTATTGATTTCCCCAGCTTTAGTAAAATACAGTTGACAAATAAAATTATATATATTTAAGGTGAACAATGTGATATTTTGATATATGTATACATTGTAAAACCATTAAACCAAGCTAATGAACATATCTATCACGTCACATACTTAGTTTGTGGTGAGAACATTATAAAATCTATTCTCTTAGCAATTTTCATATATATATATATATATATATATATATATACACATATATACAAGACACACATATTTGCACTTTAGGTTCTGGGGTACATGTGCAGAAAATGCAGGATTGTTGCATAGGTACATACATGGCAATGTGGTTTGCTGCCTCCATCCCCCTATCACCTATATCTGGCATTTCTCCCCATGTTATCCCACCCCAACCTTCCTACCCACGCTGTTCCCAGTGTGTGATGCTCCTCTCCCTGTGTGCATATGTTCCCACTGTTCATTTTCCTTGTCCAGTCTATCATTGATGGGCATTTAGGTTGGTTCCAGTTCTTTGTTATTGTAAACAGTGCCACAATAAACATACATGTACATGCGTCTTATAATAGAATGATTTATAATCCTTTGGGTATATACCCAGCAATGGGATTGCTGGGTCAAATGCTATTTTTAGTTCTTGATCCTTGAGTAACATAGCAAGACCCTGTCTCTTAAAAAAAAAAAAAAAGTGGGGTGAAGGAAGAATCAGAGTATTCTAAATGGCGTTGTCAGGGAAGCTCTCATTAAGAAGGTGACTTTGGAACAAAGAGCTGAAACAGGAGAGGGAACAAATTATGGAATAATTGGTGGGGGTAGACTGGTGAGGAGGAGGATGGGAAGATGAGAGACACAGGAAAGTTATCTTTTAGGCAGTACAAAAGCTTTGAGGTAGAATCATTTCTACCATTTTTCATGAACAAGAGGCTAGAACAAAGAAACCAGTGGGGCTGGAGCAGAGGGAAGGGGGAAAATTAATAGGCAATAAGAATAGCAAGTTACTAGCACTTTGCTGTAAAGCATTATATTTAGGTTTGAGATAGAAGCTGTTGGATGATTTCTGAGTAAAGAAGTAATGTGATCTAACTTACCTTTTAAAGGGCCCACTCTGGCTTTTACATTGACTATAAGAGGACAAGGTGAAGCAGGAATCAGTTAAGAGGCAATTGTAATAATCTGGGTGAGAGACAGATGTGGCAAGAAGTGGTTAAATTCTAGTCTATTTTAAAGGCAGAGCCAATAGGATTTGTTGACTGGTTGGATGTGGGGTATGAGAGAAAGACTATGAGGTTTTTGGCCTACATACCTGAAAGGATGGAGTTGCCAACAATGAGGAAGACTGTGGGAGAAGCTGGCTTAGAGAAGGCTGGAAGAATTGAATAGCAGGAGTTCAATTTTAATTATGTTAAATATGAAATGTTCATCAGACATCCAATTGGGGGTTTTAAGTAGGAAGCTGGATACAAGAGTCTGAAGTCAGAGGAGAGGTCTATGCTGGAGACACAAACCTAGAAGTCACTAGCCAAAAGATGACATATAAAGCTATGAAACCAGGCTGCATGTAGTGGTTCACACCTGTAATCCCAGCCCCTTGGGAAGCCAAGATAGGAGGATTGCTTGCACCCAGGAGTTCAAAACCAGCATGGACAACGTAGGGAGACCTTGTCTCTATTAAAAAAAAAATAGTTATGAAACTGGATGAGGTTATTTAGAGTAAATACAGAGAAGATGTCCAATGACTTCAGCTTTCGGCAATCTAACAATGCCAGGCCAAAGGAACAAAGGAGTTTGAGAAAACGCGGCTAGCAGGCCAGGAGGAAAACCAAGAGAAGGTCTTGAAAGCCAGTTTAAAACGCTGCTCATAGATCAACTAAGATGAAGACTGGAAATGAACCAGTGGATTTAGAATGATGAAGGTAATTTCTGTCTTTGATACAACATATTTGGGAGATAGAGGGTACAAAATTCTCATGTGAGTGATAACAACATGTTTTATGCTTATTAGCCAAAAGAAAAGAAAATGAAGCAGGAGAGAGAAGAATTGCTGGAATGATGGCCTGGGCTGATTAAAAGGCTTGAGGTCTGGTGAACAACTAGAGGGGTTGGCCTTATGTAGGAGCATAAACAACTCACAAATAAGAATAAAAGCCAGAATATATGTTTAGAAAAAAACAGCTTATGCTCACTTATTACTACTATTTTTCTTATAGTTATATTTTATATTTGACATACATTATTATTTTAAAAGTAACTTTTCTTTTGGTTTTACTACTGTACATATTTTATTTTTATATGTAATAAAACAATGGCTTTGTGACTTTCTTACTTTCAGTCCAAAGAGCCTTCTGAGTTTAAGCAATTCTAGTGTGCCATTACACTACTTCAAAAGGCAGAAATAACTTGAATTCATAGAAGACATTTCAAGCCTCTTCACTGTTTTCCTCAACCATGAAAAAAGTAACCAATATACCTCATAAGGGTATTCCATGAACAGAGATATGCAGGGGTATGAGAAGGATAATACTTTTTTTAGTCTGTATTATTCATCCCATATAATAATATACCCCAGGGTAATATAATACTCTAGAGTAAATAATATACAGGGAGATAATATTTGGCATTTGTTGTATTCAGGCTAAATGAAATACACTGGTCTTCTTTTTTATGATGCATAATTTAGAGCAAGGACTTTCCAAATATTTTGTGATTCATCAGTAATCTAAATATTACTATTATTAAGATGGGGTTTCACTCTGTTGCCCAGGCTGGAGTACAGTGATACGATCAAAGCTCACTGGAGGCTTGAACTTGGCTCAAGTGGTCTTCCTGCTTTAGCCTCCCAAGTACGTGAGGACT